GCAAAACAGTAAGAGGTATCGACTTGAAACTTTCACTATCGTGATTCTTGATCAATTCTCTATCGTTTGGTGTGTATTTCGATGTCATAACTCTAAAAATGATGCGTTGGGAGCATCCAGTAACCTAGGATCTCAGCATTGACCGGGACATAGAAATAATTGGCTTTCTCTCGTCAGCGATGACCAGGACCCTCAAATCATCGGATTTCTCTCGTCACGAGCAGCTCGCTCTTTTTTTATTTTTCAGCGAAGCTCTGGCTATTTTTATCAAGGGCCGAATGGCTGAGGGTTTCTACGCCCCTCCGCTACATATATGTAAGACGCTGAAAAGAAATGCCTAAGTGGGTGAGGGTTAAATATCGATTGGTTTTTAAGTGCCGAAGCCCGAAACACTTTAATTTACTTCGATAGCAGTTTTTAAGACCAACGAGCTCAAATACTATAACTTCTTGAACAATGTAAGCACCACATAAAATGAATCGTAAGAGAAGCGGCTCAAGATTAAGGAGCTATGAGACACTTAATAAAAAACGGCATAGATTAGAAACTGCACCTAACTTGCACTGATTTTTAAACCTTTTCGTTGCAGACTGGTAGATTAAATTTTAGGATTGATTTCAGCTGATGCTCAAATGGAGCTATTCATTCGTTCATTCATGCGACCATCCAATTCCATTCATAAAAGAAGCCAGTGACAAAATTGTTCATTTTAGATAAGTGTGAAATACAAACTCAATAAAAGTTTAATGATACGGCAAATTTGACAGCTTTTATAATGAACAGACAAAAAACTTTAACAAATCAAAGTTGAGAGCCCCAAATAGGGGAGAGTGAGGTAAGATGAGCCAAGGGGCAAGTTTAGCCACCCCATGTTTCTCAGCTCCTATGGCGCTAATTGACTTGAGCTTCCATGTGCCGTTTGCTTACGATGTTCACGTCTTTCACGTCTTTCACGTGAGACGGCAACGTTCTCGCGCTCAGCCCCGGTAACATGTGGTATCACCCCTAATAACTAAGACATGTTTTGCCTTTAAAATGAGATGGTTGTTATCTGCGGTGCATGGTTATTTTCCTTAGCAGGTGTCAGCCATTAATCGAAAATGACCACGGGTGGGGTAAGATGAGCCATTTTCACCTGGGGTAAGATGAGCCGGATAAGCCATTGTTGTCTCCGCTGTCGAAAACCAAACTGAGCTGCGCTTGTTTCTGCTGAATAAAAATGGTAGGAAATTGTTTTTCTTTGTTGATTACACAAGTTGTAAGTGATTTGCAGATTATCTGAAGGATAATATGATTTCTTCCTTGATAGAAAACTTGACGAGTTATTGGAAGGCTTTAAACAGTTACTTTTTGATGGAGGAAAAAACGTTGCCATAAGTATGTATGCCATGGAGTAAATAAAAGAGCCCACTCTTCGCCGCGCCCGGGAAAAGAAGAGGTTCGCTTTTTCTATCCATGCTCAACTTTCCCCACGACGTGTCTCAACTTACCCCGCCCATGGGGTAAGATGAGCAACGTGCAAGATGATTTTTGACGCAGCCTTTCAGTACAAAAATAAGCGGTATGAAACATTTCTGGCCACCATTACATGCGCAAATGACTAAAAGTCCGTCCAAAAGTCCGTCCAACCCGTAAACGCAGAAAAATGATCAGTAAGTTAGCCTGTAGCTTACGAAAAAACGGCTCAACTTACCTCATTCTCCCCTACGTGACACAATTGAGGGCATTTTTTTAGGCCATCACAGTATTTGTCAACAATTGTTGTTTAGGGGACTGGGGAGGGTGGTTACTGGCTCATTAACTGCCCCCGCCCCCCCCCCCCAAAGGAAAGAAAACGAAACCGATCATCCGCGAAAAGAACTATTGAGCTCGAACCAAGGTGACGAATCGATTTATAGGTATGCAGGATGACTAACGATGCCACTTGTTGACTTCTTGTGTCAAATACATTCCATCATCTGGATAACACGTCAACTCTGTGGTATCACTATTTGACATTTTGCAACAAACGTATACTATTTGGCGCGACTAGCCTCATAAATGTTCTGAAACTAAAACCGTTTCTTCGCAATTAACTTGGACGACGTCATCCCAGCTTATGCACGACCAAAAAAAGATATCGCTTCAGAATCACTGGCCCGAATTCCAATGCTTAAAGTTTACTCAAAGCCGGTGTGGCTGAGGCACTCTTCGCTACATCTCGTGACGGCCACCATTGTGTTGCATTTTTCGGTAAGCTATAAGTTAATAAGGAAAGGATTGGTGAGTGGGTTGAAAACAGCCCTCACCCTCCACCCCCCCCCCCTTCTTCTGGAAACATAAGTAAACGAAAGATCTGGCGATGGTTTATCCACTCTCCTCTGCCGCCGCGCTGCGAGGCCTCGATTCGATCGGTATGTGGCTTCCTGAGCGGTCCTCCCCGGAGGCAAGGTGAAAGGTCATGGCCTGTATCATAAATTTATACGTTGCTGAATATGTTTTATAGTTCTTCCAAGGCCTTGGACACCGTTTTATTATATCGGATAAGCATTGCACTTTCTTGTCAATCAATACATCTAAAGAAAACTTGATCATAATCTTATACTGCGGCAATTGTAGTTCTGCTTACGGTTGCCTCTTTATGATACGGGCCACCACCACCTCCACTGCGCTGGAGCTCTGGCGTTCTACCCCTCCCCGCTACGGACCGGCCCTCGGGCTAGGTGTGTTAGCACTGAGCGCAAACCTGTAGTAGTCACGTGACTTTCATTCACGTAGCGGGAACGGAAGCTATAGGCGATACCAAGGACGGGCTCTGGGGAGGCAACCGGCGCGGAAAAATAGCACGATTGTAGTTTTGGAAGAATATCTGTTGCGGTAAGAGGAATTATACAAAACAAACGTCCTAGGAGCAAACATGTGTTATTCCTCCATACTTTGCGCTACATTTCATTTCTCCAATGGCTGGCACTTAGCAAATAATAGCGCAATTCTAAATTGGTAATATATGTGTACAGTAGCAACTGCGGGTCCCTGTACCAAGGTGGTCCAAATTTGTATCCGCCCCTCCTATTGGTCAACGTCACGGCCGCCACAGGGATGCATTACGTCATTCCCGTCTGCCAACGACCAATCACAGTATGGTACTTGCGTATTCATGGTCCCTTCAAATCCTGGGGCCGAACGTAACCTGGGCCCCTGTGTAACCTTAGTCCCGGTGTAACCTGGGTACAATTGTACTCTGGTACTTATGAATGTCACCCATCGATCTCAGGGGGTGCCCGGTCCCCGGTCCGAGGTTGGGGGGGCAAGCTGCCCCGCTTGCCCCCCCGTGGCGACGCTAATGCAAAGCCCCGTAAAGAAACAGACAACCGAATTCCGAGCAAATAGAAAATTGATGGAAAGGATGTTTATCTTGTTCCATGCTGGGGATATTTGGGAACCTGCAATAACAAAACATCAGTCCGTCAAAAACAGTTTCTTTGGAGTGCGTCTAGCGGCTGGTAGGGACAATTATGAGACAGTGCTTGCGCGCTTTATACAAACTGAATTATCGCAAGGCTACTAAATCAAATTGTATTTGCGCATTGGTATCTTCGGTCTTTGTTATTGTTTGGGCTGGCTGGCTGCCGACAGGTGTGCGGTTGTTATTTATTTTTGTTTTCGGCAGGAAGAGACATCTCATAATTTCGAAGATATTACTTTTTTGCTATTGACACGCTCAGAAGATTGATTGAAAATGTGACGAGATGAAAATATTCAAAGATGAAGTGAAAGTCAAGTAGCAAGAGGTTGTTGTCGCAAGTATAAATTGAAATAGATCAAGATAGGTATGGAAGTGCATCTATATAAATCATATCGCCAATAAATGAATACCAACTGAGTTTATTGGTGGTTTATTGGTTTCCCAAATCCCAGATGGATCATTGTAGACCGTGTTTGATTGAATCAGAATGCAGAATTCACGCTGGATTTACCATGTTCTAATTTAGTTATATTCACATAATAACACAGTATATGTAACTGGTTCATCTTCAGTTTAACATGTTATTGTTATTTGCAACCATGTGTTTTGTCGGATTACCGGAAATTAATGTTTGACTTGCATGCTGAGTGGCGAGCTTTCTGCTTTGGGCACCAAGTTTGATGTTGTGCCTACGCTCATATGATAATTTATTTCTATATCAATGATAATTTATTTCTATATCAATATTTAGTTAATGAAACATCATCTAAAATGGAAGTGAAATATTATTATTCAATATCAATATTTGATGTCAATATTCTAGGATCAGGATTAAGGCAAAAGACATAGTGACCTACCTTCTGATGTTTGTGAGATGTACCATAATTGAATATCAATATGAAGTGGCTAGCTTGTATTTCCTGGTCTAATGTCTGCTGTTGAAGGTCCTGCTTCAATCAATGAAAGTGCCTACTTGCCTGTCATGCATTGAAAATGTTGCAGTGTTTCAATACAATACATCTGTGAGATCTGAAAGTTGTCTGTGAGAATGTGTCAAGGTGGATCAGAGTTTGTGCATTGCAACCAGAATAGGAATTGAGACTCTGGAAGACCATTATCAGCACTAGTGAATTCTAACACTGAACACTCCTTCCAGGCTCCAAAACTTGATTGTCATAATATTTGTTATTTTTTTGCCAAAACCAATGAATGAATTTCAGTTTTACATGTGGTGTGTGCAGCTTCCAGCCAGCAGGAAATGCATTTCAAAATGAGCTATGGTTGACTTCATTCAGACCCCATTACACTTCCATAACATAACATGAGTCATGAAGAGAGAGCAACATTATTATTACGAAATATGAATGTTTTTATTCATCTTGCCAGCTGGTCCAAGCATGCACGTATTTACTATCAATGCACATGACAGAACAGATAACATCAGCTCATCAAACACATGATACCACATGTATCAGGAGTCTACTGTTATTCTTTGAAAATAAGCCTATCCATGAACACCTTGATTAACTGCTTGACAAACCCAATAAGTACCTACTTGTGGTTATGACAAAGGTGTTTGCAGAATCATAACCAAACTACTGTTCCAATAATAATCCCTGTTTTCTCTTGCTTTTTTCCATTTCAACTCGGATCTTCATTTAGGTATGTACAATCATCTCTGGAATACCTATTTATCACACATTTCAATCCATCTTCTGATCAAAACAAAAAATAAAATAACGGCAACGCTCACTCACTCCTCATCTCAATCTTTAAATATCTCAACCTCATCACATTTTCCACCAATCTTCTGAGTGTGTTAATGTCAAAAAGGTTATCTCTTCGCAATTGTGAGTTGTCTCTTTCTGTCGAAAACAAAAATAAATAACAAACGCACACCTCTGTTGGCAGCCAGCCAGCCCAAACAATAACAAAGACCGAAGATACCAATGCATAAACACAATTTGATTTAGTAGCCTTGCGATAATTAAGTTTGTATATAGCGCGCAACCACTGTCTCATAATTGTCCCTACCAGCCGCTAGACGCACTCGTTTCTTTGAAGATATTTTCCGTAGGTTTGGGTGAAAGTAAAAAACTGGCATTAAAAGTCTCTAGTATCTCCCAAGCTCGTTGACGTTTGAAAAAGAAGCTGAAGTGTTGACAACCCCTCTACACCACAGATGTGCGTTGTGTCTCGTGTGTTGGTGGGTGGTCGTGGTGAATTGACGCATGTTTGCTGGCTTTTTAGAAGGGGGCGATCATTTTAACATTTTTGATCTATTTTGAGATTCTCTGTTTCATTTTGCTGAATTCAGTTTCCATTTAACCCTTACAAACTACACACAAAGCACAGCAATTGAATTGATATTGCCAACCACCATGTCCATTACAAATGCCTTTTTTCACCATTGCTTGTGATCAAGTATTATTTACTTTATTGGGCTTATATTGCCTCAAAGGAAGGTACCAACTACAGTCATATACCTACTGACATAACTACAGAGATTTGCTATGTTAAGATGTATGTATAAGCCTTTGTGTTGAAATGAAATAGGTACCTACCAATGAAGGAAAGTAATTCATATGCAATTCATATGCAATTCATATGCATTCATATTAAATTATATGCAATGCAATATGCATTCTATCACTTTCTCCCAGCTGCCAGAAATTTAATAACAATTTACATTATTTCCTCATTGAAGTTTCCAGAGGGCTGTTCGTGGGCCCTGTATGAGATGTGGCTGCAGTTGGTGCAGTTGGAGGTGCGGCTGTCCACTGCCTCCCTCCATCATCCTTCAGCCATTCAATGATTACCACACACAGTGACCGTTTTCCTCAGTCAGGACCAGCCACGCAGGGGCTGTCAATTATACACAGCCGTGTGACATTGTCATACTGATACTGCCCACAAATCCCTTACCCCCACTCCTGTTGCGCATACTGCACTCAGCAGTTTCTGGTGCCTGAGGCATGAACAGCCCTCAGAAATAAAAATAAAATAAGGCAGTGGCATGACTAAGCCTAGCCTTAGCAATTTATTGCTGAGTGCTGATAATCTTTTGGCTTTATCAATCTGTTTTTTTTTTAAGTTATTTGAGCACACCCAGCTTTTGTTGTGGCATTGGGGTGAGAATTGTTGTAGTGCCATCTGTTGAATGCCATACTGCAGGGTGGCCAGCAATTCTCAGTCAGTCACAATGCATCTGGCCCCAGTGATTGGTGGTCTAGCTGGGCATGGTCCTGTTCCTATCCCCTGGCCCAGTCCAGAACTCCAGATTTGTCCCAGTCCCCATCCCAGCCCACTGACTGCTGGTCACCAATCCCAGCTAGCTGGTCTGATTGGTCCCAGCATGCTGAGTGCCGGGTTTTTAGTTGGTGGCTCACTGTTAACTCTGGAGAGCCAGTTTAGTTGGTAATGGTGGCTTACTGTTTGGTGTGTTCATTTGGGAGACTCTGTCTCTGTGTCATTTATTGTATGTATCAGTGTTAGAAATGTGTGAAATACACACTGTTTGGTGAAATGTTACTCTTTAACAGAACAAGTAGTAAGCAAATACCTACCTATAGGCCAGAAGACGTGTGCTGTGTGGTTTTGTCTCCAATGCTCATTTATCAATTCTTTTCTTTGCTCTTTCAGATACCCTCATCATTAATTGCAACCCCTGTGGAGTGTGCCTCGTGCGAGAGTGACAGTTGTGCTTGCTCAGGTGGACAGTGGGCCATGGCGGTGATGCAGTGATCCTCCCCTCGCTTCCGTCGTGCCTCCGCCATGCCCGGTGTGGTCAGTGTGGAGGAGTTTGCGCACGAGACGCGCGAGGATGTCACCTCGCCGACGACGTCCACGTTTGTCACCAAGATACCCCAGTTCCGGCAGAGCATCGCCTGTCTGGAGGAGGTACGTACGATAAACAGGATGGACCGTACCACGAGCGGGGTGATTCGTAAAGAACGGGATGGGACCGTATGACGGACGGGCTGGCCGAGGAAAAGGGGATTCAAAACTGCTCCCGAAGTCGGCCGCTGATGATGTTTTTATGTACAAACGTCTCTAAAATCGTATTTGCCTCGATGATTTCCTTTCTGACGTTATGTATTGACGTGATTCTGATATCATGTTTCATATGATATCTATTCTATTAGAAATTATAAAAAAGAAAAAGCCGTAAGACACAGTTGTTACGGACGTTGAAAGCGATGCCTGTTGTCTTAATGCCGGGTATTTATCTTCCATCTGACGCAGTGACTGAAAGCGCAATATCCTATAAACCACAGGTTTATGTCGGTGTCCGCACTGCCTGTGACTTCATTTCATGTACTTGGTATCTGAGATAATGTTATCTGCCTTGTCATCTGACGCCATTGCACCATGTCGCTTTGAGCAGAGCTCTGATGAGTGACACATTTTTCAGATGCTGGATCACGACAGAGACAGTTTGAACAAGATGCGCAAAGCTGTCAAGGCCATCTCGAATAGCGGAAATGGTGAGTGCCGAGCGGGGATCGGGGTATCGGCCGAAAGCGGGATAGGGGCACAACGGGGTCACGCCTGTGCCGTGTGGACACCTGTGTGTTGAAGCATCGGCACCGCTGATGAATGCGCGTTTATGTGTGCGATCCACTTGCCAAGATTACACTTGCTAGTTGCTACATCCGGAACCAGATTGTGCGCGTCGAACACTCGAAAAGTGATCCCGATCTTATCCTAATCGCCAAAATAATGAGCACACTTGTATCGATATCATTTCCCTCCGGACGCTTTAACCATATTTTTAATGTGTTCGTTCCGCCCAAAACAGAACAATTCAGCGGCTGCATGTCAGATTATTAGTGTGATCAGGACAAGCATAGCTGCTCTGTCATATACCTTATGGTGGCACTCGTGTTGCTATGGTGGCTCTCATATAACCTTAAGCATCCTTACGGATGCAGAATGCGATATTGCCTCCCGCCTGCCCGTCCTTCCCGAGCAGTAGCTAGGCTGGCTGAGTCGCCAGTACGCAGACTATCGGACCGTGGTCACCGGTACGGCACTGCCTGTGGTCTCCTCAGCTGTCCTATCTGGCGACTTCCGGACCGCGCCGGTCGGTTCCGTACCCACCGAGCTCACTCTCTTATCGGGGAGACTGCGGGAAATCTGACGGACGGGAGAGCCAGACGGGGGTATCGCCGGTGGGGGGTGGGGGGGAGGGACTCCGCAGGCGCGGATTCAGGGGGGGGGGGGCGACGGGGGCGGCCGCCCCCCCCCGGCAAAGTGGCGCCCTTTCAGCTGTCCGGTGCCCGGCGCCTGACGGCGCCGGGCACCGGACAACGCTATATACATATAAGGCGCGCTTTAGCACTATCAATACCCACGACCCATGCAATGGCGCCCCACACAAAGCTCCGACGCAACAGTAGATGGTAGTGGATTGCATACGCAGTCGCTACCAAGGCAAGGCGCCCCTTTTATCGCATGGAGGCGCCCCTATAAACTTCATAGGCGCCCCTCTTTCACATAAAGGCGCCCCTCTTACTCACCCCATTCCCTTAGGCAATGGCGCCCCCCTTGGGCGATGGCGCCCCCTTGAGGGATGGCGCCCCCTATAAGTTTGTCCGCACCACTTTTAGCGTGGTTACGCCCCTGATCTGCAAAGCATAACAGGCGCCCCGCCCCATTGAAGATCACAGGCGACTGGGCGCCCCATTGAAAAAAAAAACATGGCGCCCCTCAGGCGCGGATCCAGCGGGGGGCGGCGGGGGCGGCCCCCCTCCATCCGAAAAGGCGCCCATAGCCCGCGGCAGAGAGGGGGCCCCGAGCAGAAGAGCGGCGACACAGCAAAGGTTGAGGAGAAAAAGGGCGCCTCCACTCAGAAGTTGGGCTCACCAGGCACGAGAGCGACGCCCAATTGCCCATTCCCAGCAGATGAGAGTCGCCCCAGCAGAAGAGCGGCGTCTTATTAAAAGAATAAAAAGATACCTTCTGTTCAAGAGGGGCGCCCCTGGCAGAGGAAGGGCACCCCCAGCAGGAGAAAGCACCCCTGAAGAGGAGCGACGCCCCAGCAAACGGAGAGGGGCGCCCCCATTCCGAGAAGAAGAGAGGCGCCCTGACAGCAGATGGGCGCCCCAGCAAAAAAGGAGCCCCATAAGAAGAAAATGGATGCCACTAAGAGAAGAGGGGTGCCCCCGGCAGCGGAGGGGGCCCAGAAGAGAAGGGTTTCCAACAGGAGAGGGGCGCCCCCACCAAAAGAGGGGCGTCCCAGCAGAAGAGAGGCGCCACAGCAAAAGTTGACCAGAAATAGGGAGTCTCCGGCAGAGTTTTGGCTCGCCAAACAGGATAGGGGCGCCCCATTGACAATATCCGGCAGAAGATAGTTACCCCGGCAGCAGATGGGCTTCCCAGCAGGCAGCAGTCGTCGGGTGCCCCCAGTAGAAGAGGGGCGCCTCATTACAAGAAGAAGAGGAGCATATTCTGCACAAGAGGGGCGCCCCTGACAGCGGAAGGGCAGCCCCAGCAGAGGGGCGGTGCCCCAGAAAAAGGAGAAGGGTGCCCCACTCCGAACAAAAGAGGGACGCCCCAGTAAAAAAAAAAAAAACATAAGAAAAAAGGGGGTGCCGCTGACAGAAGAGATAAGTCCCCGCAGTGGAAGGGCGCCCCCAGAAGAGGTGTCTCTAGCAAAAGAGAAGTGTCCCCTGCAGAACAGGGGCACCCCAGCAAAAGTTGGACAGAAATGGGGCGCCTCCAGCAGAATTTGGGGTCGCCCAACAGGAGAGGGTCGCCCCATTCACAGTAGAAAAGGGGACTCCCCAGCAGCAAAGGGGCGCCCTAACAGAACAGGTGCACTCCAAGTAGAAGTGTAACGCATCAGGAAGAAGAGGGGCGCTTCTAGCAGAAGATGGCCGTCCCAGATAAGTGGGTCGCCTACAGCCAATAGGTCGTTCTTAG